GGGGGGGGTAGGGTTGGTGTAGGGCAATAGAAAATACAGTTTGTACAGTATAAAAACCATTACGCCTATGGAGAGTCCCCGTAAACCACAAATACAAGTATGTGTGTGTGTGTGTATGTGTGTGTGAGAGAGAGTGTGTGTTTGTGTGTGTGTTTTTCTTTACCATCATAAAGACAAAGCTGATGGTCATGAAGATGTTAGCGATGGCCACCACTGTCTGATCAGCAGAGATGGCTAGAGTCATGGACGTGGCTGTGTACGACACCAGAATGATGGAGAACAAGAAGATGAAGAACGCCTCGGCAGACGCCTTCAGCCCTGCACAGCAAACACAAACACATCAAGCCACACGTCTGATATCAGACGGACCTGAATGATGCGATGACGGCGTGAGTCTCACCGATCATCCAGTACGCCACGCAGCTGAAGATGAAGGCCGGGATGGTGCGCAGAGTCAGGATGTCAGACAGGATCTTAGACAGGAAGTACACCGACACTCTGTAGTATCCGCTGATGTACTCGTGCCTGAGGACACGCCCACCACCACGACATCATCAATCAATCAAATATTCAAATTACAATCAATCACCAAGAATGGCACAGAAAATATCAGGCTTATTGCTTTTATAAAACGGTTATTCCATATACGTAGTAAGGTTTCACAAAATAAAACAGAGCAAATAAAGGGTAATGATAATAAAAACATTATTCTTCCACCAAACAATGTAGTTCCTCCGGTTGTGGTGCCAACAAAGTGGTTGCCGAGCAACACAAACGTAAACAAAGGTGTGTGTTTGTAGAGTAATTTACAACAGCTTCGAACGTGGCTCAGCCAATCAGAATCAAGGACCGGAACTCTCCGTTTTATAAACTTTATTTTAAACTCAAGTTAATGCATTAGCATAATGTTTAACACGGCTTGTCCTGTCAGGCGCTTTGACAGATGCGTGCACCATTTAATGTGAGATATGTTTCCTCAGCGCATAATCTGCATTGTACGGTATTATCCTTTTCTGTAAATGTTACATATTCATTCATGTTTCTATTTTGCATGAAGGCTCGTCCTGACGGTCTGCGTTATACTTCAGACTACACTGAACTTCATTTTGTTGTTATATCTGTTATTGGACGTTAAATTTAGGTTTAAAAGTCAACGTGTAATTCAAGTATTTTATGATAGTAACTGTAAAGGGATAACAGAGTGTAATTGAAAATAAATGTAAGACGTTTCTTACATTTACAGTATAAAGAAATTACAGTAACAGGTTGAATGTGTGTGTTCCTGCAGGACATTCCTCTCATCTGTTAACACTGAGTTTGTGTTTTTCTTTACTATCTTCATCATTATTATTTCCATTTTTAATATAGGGAATTAAACTGTCCTTTGTACATTTGTCTAGCATGTATAATGTATAATGTATAGCATAGAGATATATTCAGTATGTTTTCCTAGCATTCAGTTTGTTTGAAGGACAGCATTGGGCAGGATGTGGAATAGTGTGTTTTGTAAAAAAAAAAAATATATATTTTTAATCCGATTAATCGAAAAAAATAATCAGGCAACTAATCAGGGTGCGAATTATGGGGGGCTTGATCCCCCCTGATGGATGTCAAAACTAGATGTAGGGGGGGGTCAGATAGAAAGTAGGCTAGTCTACGCATAATATGGAGATTTACTTGTAAATATTAATATGTATTTGTATATCTCTGACTGATTTAAAATATGTAATTTTGGCAGCCCCTGAAATGGGTCGTATTGACATTACCTGAGCGGTTGAAGAATACGCTACAGCGCTTATTCAAAGACATGCAATTATTGCTTGGACGGAGCAAGAACACCTGGAATACATGTGCAGATTCAGTCGAGAGATAAAGTTTACCCTCTTCAACTTAATGCTGTTGAACTGAATTTACGGAGAAAACTATTTGCTAAAATAACCACAACATTAACAGCAACGCTAAAATACAAGCATGTGGAAATGCTAGTCAGATGCGCATGAAAGTTGCACATGTTACTATAACAAACACTGTATGATTTCTTTCAGAATCATCATTGGTGTTTAGAAAGACGATAATAGGTTACATAAAAGTTTTTTACCCACAGTAAAAATGAAGATAAGGTGTGAATAATTACATTTTAGACACATTGTCAGTAATTAGTAAGGAGAACTGTTGTGCGTCTCTGATCAACACACAGAATCCAAGTTTTTAAACGAATCGACTGAATCAATGATTCAGTGAGCCATTCATAAAGGCAGTCACTTGCTTCGTTTCTGAATGAATCAACCGTTTGAACGAATCGATTGAATGAATGACTGAATCATTCACTTATTAAGACAGGGAATTGTCACCACCTACTGGCGCTTTTAGTTTTATTTTAAGAGTATTGTTTTTTTTTTTTTAATAATTTTATATTTCATTAGCCTATTTATTTGTATTTTTGTATGTTGAATTAAAATATGTATTTCTAAAGCTACTAATATTTCTTTCTAAAGCTACTTTTTTGTAATGTCTATTCAGTGTTTTTTTTCTAAATTAACACAATAACTATTATCTTTAATTAATCGGCACATGATGTGCATGTTAATTAATTAATCTTATTAATTTGAGATTAATTTGATTAATTAATTGGCACATTATGTAATTAATTAGATTTTTTTTTTTTAAAACAATCACTTGACAGCCCTATTTAAAACATAAGAAATACCCCCATGAAACGTTTGGTACTGCACCCAAACAAAATCTAATACTGTACATTTTTTTGTGATATCAACCTCAAATTTGGAGCACAATTTGTTTAGATTTATGACTTTGATTTTCACACAGTTTTATATTGAAACGTTTGGAAAAATACATATTTCATATAAATTTTGTATTTTTGTGTACTTTTAAAACACACAAAATCCTATAATTTTTTTGTTAATTTAACTTTTTTAAACAAAACAAAACAAAAAACGTTCAATTAAATATTAAGATTATGTTTATTATATATTAAGATTATTTTATTTATTTACCTGCATGTCATGTGATCACCAGAGGAATTATATTTCACCAAAGTACTTGACAAATGTTATTTAAAATAAATAATAATAATAATAAATAAAATAAATAAACGTGTATTAAAACTACAAATACTCCCACTAGCAACAAAATACTCTACATTTATTTACTTGCATAAGTTATTTCACCTCCTACAGAATATGTTTGGATAAACAAAATTTAAATTTTTTTTTAAAGGAAGAACCGGTTCTCATTTGCCACCTCTAGTGTGTGTGTGTGTGTGTGTGTTTACTCACACAAACAGATTCCTCTCTGCGATGAAGAGTTCAGCTGAGGAAACAGAGCTGAAGCACTGATTGATGGTGATGAAGAAGAGCACGCCTATCCTGAAACACACACATACACATACTACTGTTAAAGGACAACTAATAGGAGTTTTTCAATATGTATGAGGCACGAAGTACATTAAGTTGCAACACAATTTTACTCTGTAAATTATATTTGAAAACAGCAGGGCTGAAAAGATCGCTTTTGATCATCAGATCTGAACACTGAATCACTTCTAATTCAAGCAGAAATGATTAATCTCACAGAAATATTGAAATAATTACAGAACTGGATGAATGCATTTTCATACCTGTTTTGAATGCCGCTCGAATTATCCTTCACTCCAAAAAATATGACTCCAACAACCAGAGCCAGGAAAATCGTCACTCCGATCTGGAGAAACAATCTCAGATTAATATAGAAATACTAACATCAACCCAAATCAAAACTTCATCTTTATTTTCTTTTAACATTTATTTATATATAAATCTATATTTTCTTTTCACATATACTTTGTTTAATGACAAAAAAAAAGAAAAAATATAACTGAAATATTTTCAGTGTTGCTTAAGTTTATATCACCAGCAAATTCATTGCAAATATATTGTGAATATTCAATGAATCAAACTGAATTCATATAAATCTATGAAGCATAGTTGACGAAAATCAAATAATTAATAAAATGCTAATGTAAAATTAACATAAATCATTTTGAACTGAAAATAATCTAAATAAAGCATCTATTAAAAAAGATGAAATATTTTATGTTTACCTGCATGGGCTATTATATTTCACTAAACAAAATAAAAAAAACTGTTACTTAAGATGAAATACATAAAATTAAAAATTAAATATAAAATTATTTTACTTAAAATAATTTTTTAAAATTTTTATTTCAGCCAGTTGCCAAGGAAACATCCAATTTTCATTTAGTTTAACTTGATGTATAAAAATAACTACAACTATAAAAATAAAAATAGACATTTAAATAACAAAACAAAAATAAAATACATGACAAAAACAACAAAATTACTAAACCTTTAACTAACATTAAAATAAAAACAGAAAACATAAAAATTTAAATAAATCATTTTGAAATTAAAACAATCAAAATAAAACAATAAACACTAAAAAAGATTAAATTATTTGTTTACCTGCAAGTCATGATACCATTAACCACAGTTATATTTCACTAAATTACCTGAATTATATTTCACTAAAACCATTAAAAAAGTTACTTGAAATAAAATACCTGAAATAAAATATAATATATTTTTTAAATTATACTTATTTTATTTCAGTTGCCAAGGCAACTTTTAATTTACTAAACTAAAAATGAAATAGAAATTAATAAAAAAATATATAGACATAAACATCTAAAATTACAAAAATATAAAAATAAAACTAATTTAAAATAATAATAAAAACTATACTAGTATCTCAAATATACTAACATAACATTATGTGTCTTGTTAAATTACTGAAATATTGTCTTAAAATCTCAGAGGGACTTCAGTTAAATATCTCAGCTCAAAGGCTGATAAAAAGACCTGTGAATGCCTGATGTAGACGGCAGCACTGACCTGAGCGAATGAGGTCTGCGGGTTCAGCATGAGGTTCCTGAAGGTTCTCTTGAGAACCCAGTTGAACTGGTGGCAGAAGGACGTGTTGTAGGTGATGGTTCTGGATTTGGGTCGAGTGCTGTAGTCCTGTCCCTGAACGATTCGCTCCAGCTCGCTTTTGGTCTGTTTGTAGCTGGAGCTGTTCTTGTATTCCTCCACCAAACGGTCCTCGATGCACTTCAGAGATGAACTCAGCTGCTCCTGGTCCAGGTCTGACACACACAAACACATTTATTTAAACAAAAAAACGTCTCGGGTTACATGCAAAACCCTTGTTTCCTGAATAGGGAAAGAGATTTCCTGAGATGCTGCGTAGTGATGATGCATTGGGAATGCCCCTTGGGCAGTGCCAATCTGAAACCGTGTGAAATCACACCAGTTTATTGGCCGATGGCACAGGCGTCTCCTCAGTGCGCCATCAACTCCTTAGATTCTCTACCGAAGAAGTAGATGAAGACTCTCCTCCAAAGAAGAAGCAAAGGGAGGTGGACAGAAGGCATGAAACACAACCACTTGGGAATAGAATGACGTGGACAAGACTTTGGGGATGTAACCAGTTCTGGGTCACAGTAACACCTTCACAAGACCCGGGGCAAACTCCATGCATGGCTCACTCACAGAGAGAGCCTGCATATCCCCTACACACTTGAGAGAAGCCAACACTAACAAAAGCGCCACCTAAAGGGTCAGAATCTGGTCAGGAGTCAACTCAAAATGCGGTCCCGATAACCCCTCCAGTACGACTGATAATGGCCGCAACGTAAACCCTCAAAGTAGTCGTGCTCCGGCATCAAAGTTCTCTTGCAGAAATTAAAGCACTGAGCCAACTGGTCAGCTGAATCCTGCCCTGGAATTGAGACACTAGGGTCCTGATTTGAATATCCCACTGGGTTTGCTCCACCAGGGAAGGCAACTCCGAGAACCATGTCTGGGATGGCCAGAACGGGGCCACCAACAGGAGTCTGATCCTGCATTCCTTCACACTGCAAAGAACCACAGGAATCAATTTGACCAGAGGAAATGCATACAATCTCAGATCCGGCCAAGGGGGAGCGAAAGCGTCTATCCCCAGGGGCGCCGGGTGTGACAGGGAGAACCAAAGGGGGCACTGATTCGAGTCCTGCGATGCAAGGAGGTCTACCTCTGCCTCGCCGAAAAGACTCAAAATCTCAGCCACTGTCTGGTGGTTCAGCATCCAGTCCCCCGACCTGAGTTGCTGTCTCAACAGGAAGTCCACTGCAAGGTTCAAAGCACCCGGTAAGTGAACCTGCCTTAAGCCCAGAGGAGACAACGCACATGCCTGTTTCAGAGTGTGTGACCACGAACCTCCCTGGTGGATTTTGTGAGACACTACCGCCACGTTGTACATCCTGACTATAACATGACAACCCGTCAGGACTGGAAGGAAGTGATACAGGGCTAGAAAGACGCCGCACAACTCTAGGCAGTTTATGTGCCATGAGAGAAACTCGCCTGTCCAGATGCCACGAGCTGGTCTGCTCTCGAAGGCCGCACCCCAACTGGTCAGGGAGGCGTCTGTCATGATAATCGGACAATGGGAAACAGCGCCTATCCTGACCCCTTGTAACAAAAAAAGAGGCTCTCTCCACTTCCCGAGAGCATGGAAGCAACTGTGCAAAACCCTCAGCAAGTGGAGAGCCGTCCAGGAAGGGCAAATTCCTCTGAGTTTCATCCACCACAGAAAGGTCTCATGTGGAGCAGTCCCAGTGGCAGCACAAGAGAGGCTGCCGCCACGAAACCCAGATGTCTGCGACAAATGCCCACCGTGACATGATGGCCGCGCTTGAAGCAGGCCAAACATGCTTGGACACTGGAAACCCAAGCAGGTGCCAAACAGGCCTGCATCAAGAGTGAATTGAGCTGGACACCCAAGACATTGGTTCTCTGGGAAGGAGTTAAGATGTTCTTAACTCTGAAGGTGGTGGAGAAGAATTTCCCTGTCACGACACACCAGCTCCCTTGTTTGAGCCAATCGTCAAGGTAGTTAAGCACACGGATGCCCTGGAGCCTCAAAGGGGCCAGAACCGCATCCATACACTTGGTGAACATCCTCGGAGCCAGAGCCAGGCAGAATGGCAGAACCCTATACTGGTACGCCTTTCCCCCAAAGACAAACCTCTGTATACCAGAAAGCGCATGGCGGCAGATATCACAGACTTGAAATCAGAGAGCATTTCAAAGGGGGACAAATATGTTTGAACGGTCGGTCCCTCGCTCCTGAAACATGGGAAGCTCTCCGTTTCCTAACCCGAATATCAGGAACGGCTCAGCAAAGCTGAAGCAGAAGGTTGGTCCTACAGGGCTTGGAGGAAAGAAGAGGGTGGGACTTCCAGGATGGAGCAGACAAAGGCGAGAGGTGTGTGGCCAGTGTGTCCTCAGTCGCTGGAATGCTAGCATAGCCCTGCTCCACAGAACCAACAAGACTGGTGAAGTCAGAGGCCGCTGCATTAGTGAGACAAGCAGAAAATGGCTGCTTCCAGGATCTTGAGATCTCATGATGAAGATCACTGAAAAATGTCAGCTTTCTCCGAACGGGACGTGAATTAGGGCTGCTCAGGAAATGCTTGTCAAGCTTGTCAAAGCACACAATACAATTACTAAATCTTCTTAATTAAAATTAAAATGCATAATTAAAATATAAAAATTAACATATAATTCAAATGAATAAATCCAATAAAAGTATATTCAGATAACACTGTTTTCAGCTTTTTAGTTAAAAAATAGCTAAATGTTTTCTAAATAATGTAATATAAAAATGTCCATGATTTTCTGAATTTACATTGAGTTTTAAAATGTCATATTTATGATTGATATTTATTCAGATCATCATGACTGTGGGAACACTGTAGTTATGCCCATGATATAATTCATCATTATTTAATTTGTACGGATATAAAGCCTCCAATGTCATTAAAATAACGATAACAAAAATAACTATAGCTTTTTAGATCTGATTAGTGTGAAGAGGATTTAATTATGTTGTGTGGAAAGCATTTTGGTCAACGCCGGTTGTTTTAAATGTGCTATAGAAATAAATCTTTACTGTATTGTATTTATCTTTTATATAATAAAAATACAATAATAATAATAAAATGGAATAAAATAATAAAAATAAAATACATTTAAAAATAAATATTCTACATCATTCAGACAGTCTCTTCCTGTCCAAGTAGCATTTCCTGACTAAAATAAGCTGCAAAGTGGCCTTTATACTGCAAGAAAACAAGGGAAACTGTCGTACCCTCATTGCCGTTTAACTTGTTGAGAGTGACGGCGGTGGAGTCTCCATTGATGACATCCAAGAAGAAATCAGCAGGGTTGTTATGAGGTTCACAGGTGTATCCTGAGACACACACACACACACACATCAGTCTGAGGATGTGAGTGTCTGTTCACGTGTGTGTGTGTGTGTGTGTGTGTGTGTGTGTGTGTGTGTGTGTTTTCATACCGATCTGCATGAAGTAGTCCAGGGCATCCTGAGCCGGCCCGTGATACACCAGCCTTCCTCCCACCAGCAGCGTGAGGCTGTCGAACAGCCGGTAGATAGAGTACCGCGGCTGATGGATGGACAGGATGATGGTGCGACCGCTGTTCGCCATTCTGAACAAACCACAGGTTAAACACACGGGACCGTTAAAACACAGAACGGCACGGTGCTGTAGGTAAATCTCACAACAATTTCAGTCATATTTCATCGCACAAGAGCAAAAGAATTATTAAATGTAATTTTATTTAATTTTTAAATCAGATTATTAATTTAGAAATAAAAATTATATGGAGATATTAGTTATTATTAAATATGTAAAAAATATATATATATTTTAAAAAATTATAAATAATACATAAGAGATTTGGCCCATTGTGATATCTTCATTATTTAACAAAATTATACAAACACACACACATTACAT